TTTTCTTTTCTTCTTTTTTTTCTTTTTTGTGCCAGCCTTTTATTTAGACTAAGGTAGGTGAGTATAGAAAGTTTTAAAATTTTGCTATTCCAAAAATTTGTAACTTCAAATTTTTAACATTATTAAAATTTTATTATTTTAGTAGTTACTATCCTAATATTTAATTTATAACTCTATTAATTGATTACAAATTTACATTTTTTCCTTTATCTTTTTACACAATTTTTACTTTCAAATGCTCTCATCAAGAAATTAATACTGTATGAAATTATGGGCTCAATAAAAGGTTAACAAACATAATTTGATAGATTGAGGACAAATAAATAGTAAAATTTAGTTTCAATTTAATCAATCAATTTAAAATAAAGAAGAATCTAAGGAAAAAAAGCATTTTTTTGCCCAGTTATTTAATATTTTAATTTTAGAAAGGGTTAATCTATACAAAATTCTAAAGGTGTAAACTTTTATTACTTTCCAAAAACTGGTTAGAATAAACAAAACTAAAAGGACTGATTTAACATCTTTATTGTAAAGTTTACTAATATATTGAAAATATTTTTATATTAGTATTTGGATTTTATGAAATATAAAAATTTGTTTGATTGTTATAATTATAAAAATAAGAAATTTTTAAATTAAAATTAATCATTTTAAATTGCAAATTACTGTATAAAAAAATGCCAATGTTATTAATAATAAGTTAGATAAAAATCCAAATATCTAATATATAGATTAATGATTATAATAAACTTTTAACTAAAATTACTTTTTTTTACTAAAATTCAAAAAATCATTTTTTGCAAATATTTTAACATTTAGTAATCCAATTTTAATAATTTTTTTTCTCAATAAAAATTATAAAATAAAAAAAAAACATTAAAATTAAATTATTAGATGACTGAATACTAGAAAATTATATAATCTTAATTTAAAAATAAATCAAGTAACTTATAATTTATTCAAAATCTTAATCAAATAGTAATAATAATAGATTAAAAAAATAAAAACTTATACCAGTTGAAATATTTAAATTTAGTAAAATCAGTTTTATTAATTAAACTAAATATAATTTAAAACTAGTTAATTTTAAAAATTTTAAAATTTAAAATTAGCCAAATAATTAATAATTAGCTATTTTTAGTTTTTTTTAAATAAAAAATCTTAGTTAAATAACTAGTAAAATCTTAGTAAAAACTAATTATAATTTTTAATTAATTTTAATGTTAATTAATATTTATTTATTTATTTTATATTTATATATAAATTATATTTATTTATACTTTTAAACTAATATCTATAACTATAAAGTTAATTTAAAGATAAATTAAAACTAAATCTTACTAATTAAAAAATGAATAGAAAAGGTAAAATTTTAAAGTTAAAAAAAATAACAAAAAAAATAAAGCTTCACTTATAAATCATTATAAATTTAAGAAAGTTGAAAAATAGATTTACAAAAAAATAAATAAAATATTAATAATATTTTATTATAAAAAGAAATAATTTAAAGTTTTATTTTAAAATTAACCTATATTTATAAGTTTAATAAAAGTAATATTCTATATAGGCAATTTTTATTTAAACATGGAATGTTTGAATTTGGATCATATGATTATTGCCATTTTAACTAATAGTATAAACTCAAAATTAGTAGATAAATGTATTTTTGACTGCTCTAAAAGTTTACTTAAGGCATCAAAGAATATCAGTTTTGACTTTACCTATGAATAATTGATTTTGTTGATTGTTCTTAAAAAAATTTAGAAAATGATTGGCAAAGACAATTTTTCATATATAAGTCAAAAACAGCATTTAAAACCCTTTTTGATGCCTTAAATAAACTTGCAGAGCAGTCAAAAATACATATATTATATAGAAAAAGTAAAAGGATATAACATTGGTATCATTATATTTCACATAGTTTGTGTTCAACATTCTATATAAACTTTAAAATTTTCTTCTATATAAATCAAATTTCTGCTCCATAGATTCAATTTATTTTAAATTTAATTCAAACTCAATTTGAAATCAAAAATAATTATTTTATATCTAATAATTAGAATTTAATGGATTTTTTTATTTGTAACTTTCATATAACTTATTACATAAAAAATTATAAAATTTGAACTGCTAGATTTTAAGATAATTATGAAATAAGTTTTTTATTTTTAGTATTTATTTATATCACAAATTAATTTATAAGGAATATTAAATAAAAAGAAAATTGGAAGTTTTATAAAAAATCAAAATATTTTAAAGTCTATTTTAAAATTTATTTATATTTGCAAATAAATTCAATAAAAGAAACTGAAAATTTATTAAAAAAATTGAACTATTTTATTAAAAAAAAAACAATAATAAAATTAATTTGAAATTTATTTGTCAAATAAAAGAATCTAAAATCTATAAAAATATTAATAAATATTTTGCTAAAAAAAAAAAATTATTAATTTATCATAAAACTCATAAAAAATTGGTAATTTTATACAATAAAGAATGAAGTATTAATAACATTTCATTAAAGTAATAATAAAAAAAAAAATTTAAGTTTCATTTATTTTAAAATTTATTCCAAAAAATTTTTTTAAAAAAAAATCTTATGTTATAGAGAGAATTTGTAATACAAATAATTTTCATGACCACCCATCCTGCTGGTAAGATCTATAGAATTACTTAGAAAATTATCAAAACAAATCTTATAAAAAATATTTAATTAAATTTTAAAAGTAAAACTTTAAAATTTATTTTTAAGAAGCCAATTTAAAATCAAAGATAATATCTACAAATAGTAAAAATTTCCTTTTTTGAATATTATATAATACATTTCTCTATTTTTAAAATTTTCTTTATTGTATAATATTACTCAATTATGCAAAAAAGAAAAATTTTAGCTGGAATTATAAAATTTAAAAAATTTAAGATTTTTCAAATTCAAATCCATAAATAGTAAAATGGAAATCAGAAGGATATACAGTCAGATTTCCATCACCTTCTGACAAGAATACCTTCTTATAAGCGCCTATTTTTGCTTTAACCTACAAGTTATAATTCTATATAATTACTGTTTTTTACTGAACTAATTAGGTGATAAATTATGTTATTAAAAAATTACCTTTAGTATTTCATAGTAATTTTTTTTAAAAAATTTCAAAATCAAAATTTACCAATCTTATTATCTAAAATCCAGTAAACCCAATTTACTAATATCCGCAAAAAAGAAATAAAAATTAAAAAAAAAATAATATAAAAAATAAATTGCGCTTTAATCAGATTTTCGTGATGCGATCACATTAACATAATTTCCCAAAAGCATATTCCAAAATCGATCCTGGAAAAGGTGATGTCCCGGTTAGTGAACCCTTTTATCCGCCTTGTGCAAATAAAAAAAAACGAAAAATTAAGCGAAACATTCAAGCTTACCATAATTTGCATCATCGATATTATCATCCAATCAAACAAACGAGTGTATTCCATAAAGTATTATAACTATTTATAAGGTATGTTGGTTTTATTACTCGGCTAGCTTCTTGAAACATATCATCACGATGTTAATCGATTTTCCCGCATCTATGGATGTTCCAAAATAAAACGGACATATTACTCTTCTTGTTATATATCGGCATTTTGATCTTCGCCGAGACGCGTACGTACAATGGACGCAGTGAAATTACTCACATGAATCTCGTCACATGCAACTTCACAGCAAAGGTCTGGCGCAGTATATCAAACAATTTTGCATCTTCACGTGCCGAATTCTGCGCAGTATCGTATGTGCGATAAAAAAAATTGTTTTACCTTTATTATAATGCATTAAGCAATAAATTTTAGGTAGAATAGAATGTTGCGAAAATTAATAGTAATGGTAAGTATACTACATTGCTTATTTTTTACCTCAATTGCTAATCCCGATTTATGTTGTAGATCGAAATCACTTAATCTTGGTGAAGTTCTCTTGCGGGGGAATATTCTGTGTGCGGGTGGAAAATTTTGTAGATATGGATGGGATCTGGTGTTTATAGAAGCTGTGAAAGTCTCGTAGTTAGCGATATAAATAGAAACAAATTAACTGTAGAAATTATTTATAGAGCAAAGAAATAACTTGATGCTGGGACTCGCATTAAATGGCCTAGAATCCCTCTTTGATAGCATCATACATTTCATTTGCTTCTCTAGCATATTTCACTTCAAACAAATAATAAACATATGGGCTTTATTTCGTAAAATAAATTGTGTAACGTAATACTTGAATAAGTGTGCACATACGGTGTGATTTATTAATCTATCGGTATTTGCGTTCTTACCCAAAAAATCAAAAGAATGAACGAGCGGCGACCGGCTATCCATGTGGTTTTGACGGTAAGTACTTCTGAAGCGAAAAGACGCGACTCCCTATATATACTCTAGTGTAATTTCAGTCCTTTAAGTCGTACTTCCAACGGGTATCCATGTACCCATTTTATCGGAATTTGTTAGCTTGAACATTGATTTCAAGTTCAAAAAAAATGAGAAACTGAATGGAACGTGGAATAAGCGTTTTGTCACGACTGCGGAAATATTGAAAATTAAGCAAAGTATTCTATCTTCAACCCTCTTTTTCGTTTTTAAGGAACTCGCGTTAAGTTTCGCCCTGATTGCGAGTATAGGTGTCGCCCCTTCTCCCTAGTGATAAAGTCGAAGCTTCAGTCAAGTTTCGCCCTGTGAGTATAGGTGTCGTCCTCAGTCACTATTCATTAGAAGCATAGAGTAATTATTTTTTATTTGAGACGTTAGGTAGTTGTAGGTGATCCCGATTGGTCTCGTGTTTTCGAAGAAAGATTTAAAGCAAGCTTTGTGCTTTTACTTTGATCAATTCAATTGATATTTAAATGTACCATGCATCAACATATGACAGATGCAGATTTCAGGTAGTCGTCGCGAAAAAACATATACGATGTATTCAAACGAGAATGAACATGTCGGGGAGCAACTGTTAGAAGACCAGAGGAAACGAACTAGAGAAGATGAACATAGAAGAACCTGATTTGTTTGATGACGAACCCACAAATAATAAAACACTATCATTCGTTCTTGAAGAGAATGACTATCTTGATAAAGAGGTGGGATACATCTTAGAATTGGTTCGTTACACGTAAGTTTATTTGTTAAATTTCAGCTTGGATACATACAGCTTCTAATACTTCACTTCTTTACAATCAGGTGTGAAATGTTAGGCATAGGAATTCCGCAACGAAAAAACTCCGAAAGGGACATAGATATGCTCATCAAAAGACACATTTTCGCTTGTTTCGACGATATTCTAGATACACATTTGTATGTTTTATTATATCCCTAACTGCTAAGTACTTTTCATTATTGATAATACTGATTATTTTTCATATAAGTGGAGAAATGGTCTCGAGATCGACGAAGTGAAGCAACAGATGCCCCGGATAAAGTTGAAGGGTTTCACCTAGACTGATGTTCACGGTATAGTAACTTTATGAAGTTTCATATTTTTTGTTTGATTACTAACAGATTCCTACATATAGAGACATGATCTTGGAAAAGATATATCATATGGCCGAGAATTCTCCATATGTAAGCGTGCAAGCTCTAAAGTAGATAACGACACCAAGAATTTTTCAGACATTCTTAAGGTTTTGAAAACACTCAGAGACATGCACAGAACCCTAGTCAAAGCAATTGCTATCGAAAGTGGAGTATAATATATATATGTGTGTGTGCACTTTCAAAACAAGTTTTAAATGCTTGTAATAAATTAATTATGCCTGGTTTCGCATCATCGTGGTTCTACCTTCGTGCTGTCCTTATAATATATGTAGGAGTCGGATTCTACACATCATTTTGAATTGGGAAAGTTTGACATCCCTACTTCGTATGATGAAATTTGGAAGCTAACTAAAATTGCACGCATCATGTTGCAAATTAAGGTTGGTAACAATTCAGACTTAAGATTTTACACTCACTTTCTTTATCTTATGACATACAGAAATTGTTGCGTTACACAGTTTCTCGATTCAAGCGCATTATAGAAAGAGCCGAGAAAGAAAAATTCCTTCCCGGTAAAGTAACAATAATTAAGGTAAGGAGTCCCGTCCCGTACACCTAATAAACCAAAAAAAAAAGCGAAAAAACCAAAGTTTGAAGTATTATGTGTTGATGATTATACATATGATGACTTGTTGAAAAACGTTTATGGCATAAATTTCTACTGTAGTTTATGTGTCATTATTGTACATAGCTTATAATAATCTAATTTAATAAAAGTATTTGTTTTGCTCACATCGGAATATATAAAGTTTATGGTTGAATAATAAGCTGTAAAAAAGAATAGAAACAGAAGACACATACGATCCATTCTATCAGTAAAGTTTATTGACCCAGCATCATCTTTCACAATCACAGAAAGCGAGAAGTAAAATACTAGAACATAAGTAGTGAAAAGTAATACCCAGAATTCAAGGCGCAGTAAATTATGATTACTTGACACTGTGCTGGATATCATCTGATATTAAGCCCTCTGGAATTACTATTATATAATTCTTCTAACAATATGTTTATATTTATCTGAGGGATTTTTTTTTGCCTCCCAAAATCATTTTTTCACATCCCTTTAATTGACCTTAAATGTCACTGGTCACATGAAGATGGAATTTTTAATTATAAAATTGTTGGTAAATATGTGTAGAGTATCACAAATCACTATTATATGATTCTCCTAACAATATACATAGAGTATATCCTATATTAATCTCTTATGATTATTTTTGTATTATTCAAAAAATGCCTTAAAACTCAAGGTATAATAAATTAACAATCATTTTAGCCAATAATATTTTATAATTTCTGGCTGAAATTACAATAACTTAACACCTAAGCTAATTAAAAACTGGCAAACTAATAAAACTCACTGGATTTCTACCTTTTTACCAGTTTTTTGCCAGTTTCTTATCAGTTTTCTATCCTTCATGATATTAATTTGATATTATTAAACTGCCAAGCTGAATTTCTCCCTAAAAATTGACTAAAGTTATATTATAGTACCAATCAAAATTAACTAAAATTGCATTACAGATTACTATACATTTTTTTTGGAAATTTAAAGAGAATAGAAAAAAAAATACAGGTAAATACTTTGGCAATTAAAAATAACTAAAATGATACTAATATTAATCTAATATTTTAATGATAAAAGATTATAAAGTTAAATAAACTATAAAATAATATAAACACTTTAATAATAAAAAGCCATAAAATTGAACTAATATAAATAGTTTTTTAATAATAAAAAATAGGAATATTTAGAAAAAGTATTACTATTAGATTATAAAATTATAATATTTTTATTACTATTAAATTATAATATTATTATTAAATAGTAGGAATTAACTAAAGCAATAATTAAAAAGTAGTAAAGTCATCTAAAAAATAGAAAATAAGACCAATATTAGACTATAATATTAGGTTATAACATCACTATTAAATTATAATATACTGTAAAACTATATTAAACTGCTAGAGATTATTTTTACTAGATTATAATATTATACAATATTACTGCTAGATTATAATATTACTATTAGATTATAATATTACTATCATAATTTAATTTAATTTGCTAAAAGTTCTTTAATATAATTATATTAAAGAAATTATTGCATTTTATACTTTAATTTCTTTCAAAGGTTTTTTTTAAAAAATCTGCATAAAATTTTATTATTTAAAACTTTTTCTTTAACTTTAAATTTATACAGATTTTCACTCAATAAAAATTGCTAATAAAATAATATTTTTATTTTTTATTTTAATAATTTTTAAAGATGTAAATTTGGCCAGAATTATATTTTTTAAAATTACAAATAATTAGTAAAAACTAAAAATTAAGCATTTATAAATACTATTTATATTTAAAATTATATTTATAATTTATATTATTATTTTGTAAAATTTTATATAAATTTATATAATATTTTTCAAAGTTTTTTTATATAAATATTAAAATTGGCTTTGAAATAAATATGTAAAAATATAAATTTAAAATTGTTTTTATTAAAAGAGAATCTAATTTAATTTTTAAAATCATATTTTTTAAAAATTAGTTATAATTTACATTAATTAAATATTTGTAAAAATGATTTTATTTGAAAATTATAATTTTATAAATTTTATATTAAATTATATATTATTTTTTAACTAAAAAATTATGTATTAATTAACAATATTTTATATTAACATATTTATAAATTATATTTAAATTTCATTATTTAATTATTATAATGACTAATACCAGTATTATTTTTATTAATATTATAAAATAAGTCTAAATATATAGTATAATATATAAATTATAAATATGATAATCCAATTTAACTTTTAAAATTATAATAATTATTAATAATGTAAATAAATTAACTTTAATTAAATCCTTTTAATAAAAGTATTATAAGTATATTAAAAAAAAAATAAGTATTTTTAAGGTAATAGTTAAAAGGCTAAAATTAATACTAATAAATCAAAAATAAAAATCATAATAAATAAATTATCTGAAATATACTACTTATATTTAAGTATTTTTAAATATTTATAAATAAAAAAAAAATTAATTACTAATATAAATACTAATATAACCAATATAGAAATTATTCTTTATAATTGGAATGTTTATAAATAAATATCTCTATTACAAAATTACAAGTAGTTTATTAGAATAATATATTTAAAGGAAAAATCTTTTTTTTATATATTAATATAAAGTACAAATAGGATATTTTTTTCTTTTAATAAGTTTTTATATTTTTCTGGATTTTAAATTATTTGCATGCCCTTAATTTAATATATTTTATAATATTTAATTATCTGAATTTAAATCAAATAAAATTCCTGTTATCTCTTTACCAACATATCTTAAAGAGTTTATATTCAATAAAATTCTTGCCAAAAAAAAAAAAGATTGAAAAAGAATAATATAGTTTACCATCAATCCATTCTTGTAAGGTACAATATATTCTGATTTGCTACCATCCTTTATTAACAAGATTGCCTGGTCTTATTTATTCTTAAACCTAGATACAATATATGATTAATTGATCTCATATAACAAACTCAAAGATTGACATAAATCAATAAGAATACACAAGTCATCCAAAATGTTGTTGCAGCAGGAATATCAATATATTGAAAAGCAATACATGGTCACATAGAACATTTCTCATTTTGCTCACATGTAGTTTATGTAGTTTGGTAATCAAAAGAATTTCACAAGTATTTTTATTCTCTTTAAACAAAATTCTACATTTAATGGTTGATTATCAATACATATACTCTTACTATAATTTTTAAATTTTACAATCTTAAATAAATTAAAAAAAAAGCTCATCCAAACCATAATTAAAGTTTACTTGATCTAGCACCATTAGGAATAACAACTACTTTACCAAAAGTATTTCTATTCGCAATAGCTTTTAGGCCAACTTTTACGTTATCCAATCCATGAAAAACTTTTTCATAAACAAGAGGTTTTAATTTTCCACTACCAAATAAATTAAACAGATCATTCCAAACTTCATCATTACGTTCTGGATCATTTTTTGCATATGAGCCCCAAAATAACCCAATAATTGATATATTTTTAAGTAATACAAGATTTGTTGGTACTTTTTCAATATTGCCACTTACGAATCCAATAACGACGAGTCTCCCATTCCATGCTATAATTATTAATAAATTATTTTAGAAAGAAATCGCGTTAGCCAAAATCATTTTGAGTAAATTAACGAACATAATTAATTACCTATACATTTAATAGAAGGAACAATTAATCCTACAGGATCATAAACAACGTCAACACCTTTTCCTCCCGTAATTTTTAATACTTGCTTTTGCCAATCTTTGTCTTTATAGTTAACTGCATAATCTGCACCCACTTTTTTTGCAATAGCTAATTTTTCTGATGAACCTCCTGTAGCAATAACTTTTGCTCCAAGAGCTTTAGCAACTTGTACCGCTACCGCTCCAACACCACCAGCTGCAGCATGAACAAGACACCATTCGCCTTTTAATCAAAAGATAAAAATTATTATAACGTTGTAAATAATAACTATTATTAATTTCTTTAAAATAGAAATATTTCTTTCGTATAATATACCTTTTTGTAATTTAGCTCTGATAACTAAAGCAGCATAACTAGTAGGATAAGTAATAGATAACCCTGCAGCTTCTTCAAAACTCATACCATCAGGTATTAAATGTAAATTATTAATTTGTGCCGAAACACGTTCTGCAAAACATCCACTTGCACTACCAAATACTTTATCTCCTTGTTTAAATGATTTTTTACATTTTTCTCCTGCTTTGATAACAATTCCAGAAAACTGAAAAAAAAAAGGTTTAATTGGTAGAAAAATTCGAAAAATAATCGAAAATAATAAATTACCTCAGTTCCGGGAATATGAGGAAACGGTGGTTTCTCTTGATATTTCCCTTGAACCTAATATTTTTACCAAAACCAGGGTTAATTGTCGCAAAATATTTCACTAACCATTCTTAATATTCAAATATATATATATATATTATTTACCTGTAAAATATCGAAAAAATTCAAAGCAACAGCCTTAATTTCAACCAAAACTTGATTATCTCCCAACTTTGGTTCAGGTGCATTATTATCAACCACCAACTCATCAACATCTTTTAACCAATTATTTAATACAATAGCCTTCATTTTTCAAATAAATAAAAGTAAGAGAAAAAAAAAAGTTTTTTTGAATTCAAAATATTTATAAAACGTAATGATCAGATCATTTCAATATTCATTACATGACGCCATACCAAAAAAGAAAATCAATTTATAAATTTTGATGTCTTTGTAATGATTATTAGATAATTTTTCGCGATAACCAATAAAATATAATTAAGTTTACACAAATCACTCTACTATTACAAAAAAGGCTATATAACTGAAAAAAAATATTTTTTATTATTTTTTTGTTCTTTTTAAGGACTAAAGGCTACCCAATACTGTTGAGTCAACATCTATTCTTGCAAAAACCGTTATTTATAATTGGATGATTTTCAACAAAATGCGACTTTTGACGACATCGTTTTTTTCAACTTCATATTATCTCTTTCGTTTGTGGTCTTTTTGGTTTTTTTTGCTTGCCTTTTTTTTCGAATTGTTTTCACCTTTGGATCGCTGAATTTGAGGATAAATGATTAAAATTGGATTTCTTGCATTTTATTAGCCAGTAATATATAATGAATCAAATATTAAACCGTTGCCTAATATTTTGGCCAATTAAAAGATATTCGACGCGTTTATGTTACAATTAAAAAATAATCTGTTATAATATGTGGCATAAATTTTGTATTCATACATGTCTAACTCATATAAGTTCTCCAGGGCCAAGATCTGCTACTTTTCCTTTTGATCCAGCATTTGCAATTATATCGTTTTATCCGCAACGTTTTTATATGTCATTGAACAATGGTTATTTCTGAACAGCTTGCATTGTTATTTTCTCTTCAGGACCCATAATTATTATTTTTACATTACAACTTTCATTCCCATACTCTTTATATTATCGTTTTGAATAGTTTTGAATATTAATATACTGTACGTTTGTAAATCATCAGTTCTATTTAATTTACCAATAAAACAATTTTTATTTGAAGATAATAAAACTTTCCCTCTCACTACCTGCTAAGATCGGGTTCTGTAATTTTTTGACCTATTATATTTTTAGAACCTTTACGCGTATCATTCAACATTATATTAACCTCGTTCTCATCTTTTTCCAACGTCTCTCATTTAAGATATTATTCGGATTTAATTTATTCATATAGTGACTTAAAATGGAAACAAGTCCCACTACAATATTATCTTTGTTACATTAATAACATGATAACAACCATAATTACATTCAATAGACTTCCGTGTTATCACATCGAATTTTCATTACTATCTTCTTCACCAAAGTCCTCAGGTGAATAATATTTGCTGAGAAAGTTACTCGTATTCTTTATACTAAGAGAAGGAACGTCTTTAATATAATTTTGCTTGCTATTCTGTTAAATTTGGTACTACTATATAAGGCAATTTTCTTTTTCCGATTCAGACATATAATTAAAAAATTAAAATCGATAATTAACACGTCAATGGTATCAGATATGATCCATTATGTTTAATCAATATAATTAATAATCATTTATTTTTAAGAAGTGACGTTCAAATAGAGTAATACAAGGTGAAGGGGAATTATTTATTTTTAAACGTGTTAATAATGCAATCAGATGATCATTCGATTTCTGGACCAAATTAAGAATTTGTGAATCGTTAACTGGGGTATAAATATTTTTTTCTAGGGTATTTTTAGGTTTTTTTTTTTGACAGAAAAAATAATAAAAAAAAAAAAATGTCGACGACGGAAAAATTTAAAGATCCTATAACGATTTCAAAATTACCTTCGGAATGTTTTGATGAAATATTTAAGTATTTAAAATTTGATAGACGTTCATTATATTCATGTCTTTTTGTAAATAGATTTTGGTGTCGAAAAGTTATTCCGATAATTTGGAGAAGACCTATGCCATATAATCCGACGAGAATGAATATAATTAATATCGAGGTTTTTATTCCTTTCTTTAACGAAGAAGAAAAATCATATTTAATTAATGAAGGAATTGATTTTTCAAAATTATCGGACCGTCCATTTCCTTTATTTAATTATGCACAATACATACATATTCTTGATGTTGGAGCAATTGAGACGGCAACGGTAACATGGTTTAATAAGTTAAAATTACAACAATCTGGCGAAACTTCAAATTCTTTAAGCACAGAAACGGAAAGTTCAGAAGTTAAATGTAAAGAACTTGATGGTGAAGTTACAACGTTACAAACCGAAACTCCAGCATCACAAGCAACAAATGCTATGGTAGATTCTTTATGTAAAATATTCATGAGAAGCGCATCTAATTTGAAATATCTTATTCTAAGTCCTTATAAGGTTAATAAGGATATACCAAAGAGCAATATTTTTGCGGATAATGAACCTGGATTAGTCAATTTACGAAAACTTAAACTTCGATTTTATACGAACTCGTTATGTCAGCATGAACAACGAGGAAATTTATATGACCTTTTAAAATTATTGCCAAATATATGTAATGGACTTGTTCATTTGGATATAAATAGAATAAAGATTCCAAATTATTCGACTGCTGAAATATTGGCAGGATTAATTACGTCGCAACCTGAATTAACTTATTGCCGATTTTATAAGGTTTATGGAGAAATTTGTTTGTTAATTAATGTTTTACCAGTTCATAAATTGACACATTTGGTATTGGATGATATGATATTTTCAGGAATTTCTTTAACTTCACTTTATCAATGTACAAGGTTGGAATCTTTAGTTCTAAGAAAATGTCGTTCTTTAACGCTTGAATCAATTCAACCTATTCTTAATGCTTCTATTAGATTAAAATTTTTGCATCTTAGTGAATTGCCAAAGGAGGTTGTGAAAGCTATCTTTATTAAAGCGGGTGATGCGTTGGAACAAGTTTCAGTTAAATTTATATCTGATGATATCAACGAAGGACTTGAAACGCTAGTTAATCATTGCCAAAATATTACACATTTATCTTTAAATGCTGATTATGGTCGTGTTGACATAGCAAGTGTAATAACTTTTATAAATCATTTAAAAAATCTTAGTCATTTGAAATTAGATCTTGGAATGATTGATGATAAAGCTGAATTAGATAATGAATTTTCGAAACTTGGGTTAGAAAAATTGCAATATTTAGAATTAATGAATATAGGCGTAAAAGGTTTACAAGGTTATTTATCTAAATGCTGTTCACCATTATCAACTATAATTATGGATGCTATTGAGGAAAAAAATATTAAGATATTTTCAGATTTTTCAAAAGAAAAAGATTCTTTGAGATGGGTTGGAATTGATTACATTTTTGGAGCGGATATTTATGATAAATATGTAGAAACTTGTAAAATGAATGATTTAGAAGTTTGTAGAAAAATGAATGAAATTGCTGAGGGTAATTTTAAAGTATTTCCTGCTAAACAAGTGAGAATTAGGGAAAAATATTTTTAATTAATTATTACATTTGAGCTATTAATATAATATTACCCTGGATCGAATGGTTTATTCTGTCCAATAATTATCATAAGCCATCTTTGAGATTGTTCGCGTCATGTCTTAAATTATTGAAACCTCCTATAATCATCTGTTGTATGTCAATGTCAATATGTTCGTTGGGTTCAATAATTATTAATGAATGACATTAGCAGATGCAGTAGTAAATTAATGAGACCTTTATTTATATAGAGTATCTAATGTGTTAAAAAGTGAGAGACCATTAGTCATGTTACTAGACAACGTGAAAATAATTTTTTTTTTAAGGATTCCTTAATGTAATGTTACAATCAAAATAATTCAAACTGAGATCTATCCAATAAAATTTGGATTTTTAAAATAATAACAGTTTTTTTTTTAACCTTAAATTTATTAATATTATTAATATGTATGACCGAATATTTTCTTTTTAATTCTTTTGGTTTTCCAAATTTCACCTCGTATACACTCCAATGTCTCTTCATTACAAATAATTATTATCCTTTATCACTCAACATAAGTGATTTATCAGCACCATAAACAATCTTATTCTTCTTTGAACTATGCCCGTGATACGAATGATTATAACGGTTAACACGTGGTTTTTTTTTAAAAAAAAGTTCTATCCGCAGATTGTGGTAACTCCAAGCTTTAGACTAAGCTGGACTGAGCGATCATTGTTGCCATATTTTACGATGATGTAACCGGACAGATCTGTGTGACAAGATAAATAGCTCGTCTAATATTTAAAATATTTTGAGGTCGAATTCGGGAAGAATTTTAAGAATTTTACCGTAAGTAGACAAGAAAACTCAAGGAGGTAAAGGCACATGAGTTCGCCAATTTTACTACAGACAAACTAAAATTATGGAAGGTCAATATTTCCTTGACAAATTAAACGAAAGCTTAACTTAAAATTCTTCAAATTTCATTAATTCGTTTTTTATTTATTTAGGTAATTAGTCTCTATTGATGTTGATTCAAAGTTGAGTGAAATGTATGCGATAAAAACTATTGAAAAGAAGAACAATAATACATTTTAATATTGTCAAGAACTTGAAAATATTATATAGCGTGATTACTTCAATACTTTTGATTTCATTCCTGATCTCACTAATTCTCAATAGAAGCACGTTATATCACAAGAGACTATCAAGAGGTATAGTAAGTAGTAACTAGGCAAACAAACAGTTTCTATCGAAAAGAATCATAGAATTTATTAGTCAGCTAGGAAATGCAAATCAGAAATACAAATGTGGATAACTTGTGTTAGAATAGAAATTACAAAGAATAGCTCAAGCAAGACATATTTATATTTCCTTAATGATTCAATAAAAATAGGTTATTAATCCTTCTCCCATTCTTTTTTTAAAGAAATTACATCTTACAGATTTTTTTAAATATAAATTTAAGTATGGATTAGCTGCCTGAGTTTGATCAATGTACATATATAAGATCACTTAGGACTTACTGTATCAGTAGATTCAAAAGTTTGATTTAAATCCATTAATTGAAAATAATCGAATAGGTTAAAATTTAGCATATTCAAATATTGAGTTATAAGTATTAGTTACAACTCGTCACATAATAATAATAACTTAAATTAGCACATGAAGATTATCAACCTCAGTGCGAAGTGGAGTGGAAACTGGAAAGTTCTACAAATCATACAAATCAGGACGAAAAGAGATTAATATATATAAACTCACTGAGCAAGTTGTGTCGATAAATGCCATCTTGTCAAGTATTTGAAAGACTCTCCTAATTGATCTAAAAAAGTTAATACCATCAGAATTTATTGGTTATAAAAATCATATGATGTAATTCTGGTATTTCAATTCAGATTAATATGTTTTCCTTCTTTATCGGTCGTCAAGAGTCATATTGAGAATTATATCACCATTATAAATTAAAAAATTAAAAAATCGGTAAACGTATTTTTATTATCAATATATTATTACAATGCGAGACAAAGCCTAGCCTGTGATACACAATGGTGCTTTATCCAATGGTGCTTTATCCTTTAGTAACCCTGAATAAAAATGTTTCATTCCAGAGGTGTATCATACGATAAATGTGAAGTTTCTTCATTTGATGGAATTTAGCATATATTTTTGTTATGTAAAATGTCCTGCTATATTATTTACGATACAGTATCATAAATTACGTGAAAATAATAACTAAGATCAGGAAATATGTGACGGGATAATACTTATTTTAAATTCTATTATATCCCAATCATCTATCTGTTACCCGCTTTAATTATTGCTGCGATTCATAAAATACCCACTTAATTTGTTCTAAGCGATGAGAAAGTACTTTCGTTCAATGGAGAACTTATGAACTCAGTAATACTCAATTGTCAATATCATTGCATTCCTCGACCTTAATTATGGCTCAGTCGAAGTAATATCATACATTACAACTTCATGCAAAGCTTCATTGTAAGTATTATTACACTGAAATGAAGCTTACAATTGAATAACCGAATCGTATTCTGTCTGAACCCCCGTCAATATCTTCTTTTTAATCTCGGTAATAATACTATAATAATCCAATCCCCTTTTCCATAGTAACAAGAAGCGATACTATGAGGAATAGTTTATGTGAATAAAGTAATTATGTGAAGGCAAGTTTCAACCAAAGGTTGACTGTTGCATAAATCTCTAAGAATTCACGTCTACGCGAACGGCCAAATAATGTCACTCTCACGAAATGCACATTTAAGTTCGTCGGGAAAGTGTAACATGTACGAAAGAGAATTCAAAGCTATTATTATTTGACCCGGATTGCAATCGAGTGGTTTTTTTGCTTGTGTCGATTGGAAATTGTTAAAATGTTCGTCAAAAAGTACTAAAGATTTCACTGATTATGAGTGATTATGACCTATTATGACCTGATAATTTGTCATCACGTTACACCTGATTTTATCACTAAATTTGATCGGACTTTTTTCGCATCAAGTAAAAAAAAAAAATATTTTTTTTTTTTTTTTTTTTTTACGAAATGTAAAACATATATTTTATATTCTTGATAAAATTAAAAAATTTTAATCCTTATAGGTGGTGAATTATTCGTAATAGAGGGGGATAGTTTACTTTTTAAGTTTCTTTACGATCCTGAATCAGATTTTATTGATTTTGGTCAACCTTTTGCTGGAGGTCAATTTTTGTCTCTTACCTTTTTGATCGAGAATTTTCTTAAAAAACTCAGAGAACGTGAATTTGTTTTTCATATCGTTTTCTTTGATGCTAATCAATCTATATGGAATAATCGACCAAAATTACGACTTGCAAGAGAAATCATCATCGATCACCTAAAATCTAATAATACTCAAGTTCCAATCTACACCTTTGAGAATTGGTGGAATAAAAAATGGAAAGAATATTTAGATGATCAGCAACCGCTGTTCGTTTTAACTGGTGATGGTTCAACCTGTCTCTTATACACATCTAGATGTGTATAAGAGACAGCCTAAAATCTAATAATACTCAAGTTCCAATCTACACCTTTGAGAATTGGTGGAATAAAAAATGGAAAGAATATTTAGATGATCAGCAACCGCTGTTCGTTTTAACTGGTGATGGTTCAACTGAACATTTAAAGATCGAAAAAAGTAATGATTATGTTGAAGATGATGATGATTCGTCAATCTCTGGAATTGCAACAAAAAATTCATTAAGTTTGACAATTGTGTTACGAGCTTTTATCTTTTTTACTCTTCATATGGATATGCCTGTCGCACTTTTGCCTGGTTTTGAATTTAGAAATTCACATGTACATTCGTTCTTAATTGAAAGAAGTGGTAATGTTGATCTTAAAACTCAAACGAAGTTAGCTGATATTGAGAATTTTACTACAGAAGCGTTTAAGAATTATGACGAAAAGTCAAAGTGGATTAAGGATTCTGTTGAAAAATTTGATTTGATAACACCTATCAAAGATTTATTAACTTCCAAAGAATGTTTAGACGTATGGTCAAATGGAGGGAAAAGAATCGCTCTTGTTTTATTATCTTTGACGGGAGTCTTGACCAATAATAGTGACAAACCAGATTTTCATTATCTAGCAAGAATATTTTTGCTTCATCTTATTCTATTAGATTACCTCCCTTTAAAGTCAAGAGTTATACCACCAGTTGATGATGATGATGATGATAGTACAAAAGCAAAGACGAGAGTCGACCTCTTCTTGCAAGATGTTTATACTTATTGTACTAAAATTTATATCACTGACATTCCTCGTGAGGAAATGAGAAATTTTCAAGATTTAAATAATAATCTTTATGATCTTTTAGATGCACGACTTTTTGTATCTTTAATCCAATTTCAGTGCGATGGCGTGTTAAAATTTAATAATCTTCCTACTGAAATTAAGCAACAATTTGACACTTGTTGGAATCTTTTAGAACGATTATGCGAATGTAATGGGCTTAATTCTTTAGATAGTGATAATGAAAAATATAACAAAAAGTTTCGAATTAAATCTTATCAAAAATCACATTTAGAGTATGACAAAGAACCGAGCCTTCTTCCTTTTGAATATGAGTTCTTTAAAGGGTGTCTTGGGGATATGAATTTAAAACTTTCTGAAGATCCAGATTTAGAAGCAGAAATTGACGTACCCCGTTATGGATTAATTGAAGACGTTGATTATGATGAAAGCACATATAACTATTCTCTAAAGATATCCAAAGGTCCCAAAGTCATTAAGTCAGCAGCCTATTATGAGAAACATAAAAATTCTATGGAACGGAAAGGCTATCAGCAATATGTGAGGTTCTTGGAACAATATGCGACTTCATTAAATGGTACACAAGGGTATTTTAGACAAAAAATAATTATTGATAGAACAAGATCGTCATCAAAATCATCGAAATCATCAAAATCATCAAAAACAACTTCAAAATCAGTTAAGAAAGAAGCTACTGGTACAAAAAAAGCAAGAGAAAAAATTGAACAAGGAAGTCTAAAACAATCTCGGAACGCATCTGATAAGTACCTCGATGATGCATTAATAGAAATTTCGAAGGGCGGAAATGTTAGAAATCAACTTAATTTATTGAATGCCAAGCTTGAAAAAACAGACAAAATCAAACATCCATTTACTATGCTCAGGGGACAATTCAAAAAGTTGGAATTCTTGTTTAAACTTTGGACCGAACATTGTATGAATTCTCAGGTGAAAAGTGATTGGTCTATTCCTATAGATATTTTACATCAAGTATTTTATATCGCGCAAAATTTCCAATCCTTCTTTGACGAAAAAATGAAAGAAATCTTAGTTAAAGTTTTAGGTCGACTTAAATTAAATGATTGTAGAAAACGCTTGAAGAAATTGCCTACAATTGCTCCAAAAGAAAAGCCGTTTAAATTTGATTTTCCCAGTGATTGGACTGATTTATCTATTGGGATGTCTGACGCGAGATTTCAAATGTTATATGCTGGTCATTTAATGGACCGAAATACAAATTCTGTAGATGATCCTCGAGTTCAACATTTTAAGCCAGGTAATCGAACTTCTTTTTGTGATTTATAACTTATGATATTTTATATTTTTGTCCATTTGTTTTATTAACAAAAATATTTATTTTGCTAGATGCATGGCAAGTTGAAGTTTTGGATGTAATTGATAAAGACGAATCTGCGTTACTTTGCTGCCCAACTTCGTCAGGGAAAACTTTTATATCATATTATGCAATGGAAAAAGTTCTTAAAGAGAGTGATGATGGAATTTTGATATATGTTTCTCCTACGAAGGCTTTGGTTAATCAAGTAACAGCTGAGGTTTATGGTCGTTTCGAGAAAAGCTATGATCATGGTGATAAATCCACTTGGGGAATATACACTAGAGAATATCGCGAAAACCACGATAAATGTCAAATTCTTATAACAATTCCGCAAATGCTTGAAACGTTAATTTTATCTCCAGAACGTGCATCATGGGCTCGGAATATAAAAAGAATTATTTTTGATGAGGTAAAATATTTATAAAGTTCTTTATTTTAATTATAATTAACTAATATGGCGTAATTCCGTTTAAATTAAAGATTCATATGATTGGATCAGAAGGTGGCGAGTTTTATGATCGTTTACTATTATTAAGCAAATCCATTCCAATTTTGGCCCTTTCTGCTACAGTCGGGAATCCAGAACCATTTAATGAATGGATAGCTAAATCTAGAGAAGCTCGTAAACAAAAAATGAAACTTATTATAACAAAGAAGAGATTTTCAGATTTACAACAATATGTGTATTTACCAAAATTTCCATTGACGTCACTTATTGAGACAACACTATATCCAAAAGAAAAACAGCGACAAAATAAGAGTATAATTCCTATTAATCCAGTATTCACATTATCAATGAGTATTTTAAAAGAATGTGGATTCCCTGGCGACATGAAACTAGTTCCCTCTCAATGTGTTCAACTTTGGGATGTAATGAAAAAATACGTAGGTGATAATCCACCTGATGGATTTAACGAATTAGATCCTAATAAATACTTTAAAGAGATCGGTTATATTGTCAAAGATGACGCTGATAATTATGAAGAAAAACTTAAGGAAGTTTTTGTGAGCTACGCAAAAGATGAATCTTTAAATCATATTATAAGATCAACCATAGATGAATTAGGAAATGATATTGAAAATGGATTTACAGAATTAGAATCAACAGCAAATACCACTCGATGTGTTCAACTTTTTGGCGTAATGAAAAGATATTTGGGCGATAATTCATCTAATGGATTTGATGAATTAAATCCTGATATATATTTTAAAGATCAAGGTAAAATTGCTAGAGATGATGTTGATAAATATGAACAAAAACTTAAGCGAGTTTTTATAAAGTGTGTTCAACCTTGGAATGTATTGAAAGAACATGTTAGTGATAATCCACCTGTCGAATTTGACAAGTTAGAACCTAGTATTTATTTTAAAGATAATGATCATATCGCTAGAATAGACGTTGATGAATATGAACAAAAACTTAAGCAGGCTCTTGAAAATCACGACACTGTAGAATCGGATATTGAAGAGTTAGGAACGTATATTAAAAATGGATTTGCAAAATTTGCATCAACATCTAGTGAACTATCTAAAAAATTTGATGTTTATGGGGATAAATTTCTTGAAGAGGGAATTGTACCATTGCTATGTGAACTATCGGCTCAAGATAAACTTCCCGCTATTTTGTTTCATTTTGATGAAAAAGGATGTGAAGAACTTGCATTTAATATTTTAAAACAATTAGAATTAGCGGAAAAAGAAAAGAGAGATAATGACCCAGAATATCAAGCTAAAAAGAAAACAGCAATGATGCGAAGAGATACTTATGAAAAAGATTTAAAGAGAAAACGAGATAAAAAAGCTACTACTGCTCCAGATGATGAACCAGAATTAGAAGAAAAAATTCCATCCTTTTTTGATTGGGAAGCCCATGATCCCAATTTTACTTTCGTAAATCAAAAAGGTCGAGTTACTTCAGATGAATTCGAAGAAATTACAAAATTTCTACGCGATAAACCGAAAGATAATTACAAGTTATTATTAGCAGCATTAGAAAGAGGTATCGGAATTCATCATACAGATCTTCCAAGAAAATATCTAAGTGCGGTTGAGATTCTTTTCAGAAGACGTTATTTACAAGTAGTCATTGCAACTGGTACTTTAGCTCTTGGTATAAATATGCCATGCAAAACGACTGTATTTGTTGGAGATTCAATTTCTCTTACCGCTTTACAATATAGACAGATGTCTGGAAGATCTGGGAGAAGAGGCTTTGATCCACTTGGTCATGTAGTGTTCTTTGGCTTGACACATACAAAGATAGTAAGACTTCTGATGTCAAGATTACCAAAACTTTCACGTCATTTTCCTTTAACGACGACACTCACTTTGCGTTCCTTTAATTTTCTTAATTCATGTAAAACTAGAAGTGAGGATGATTATAATTATGCTAAAGATACCATCAAAGGGTTATTTGGTGAATCTTTCTTTTTCCTTGGTAAAGAATATTTACCTGAACAAATTAAATTTCAATTAAGATTTTCTGTTGAATATTTGAGACATGAAAGTTTTTTGAGTCCAAATGGCAAATTAATCAATTTATCTGCCGTGGTTTCACATTTGAATTATTATGAGCCAAGCAACTTTGCATTTGCTATTTTATTTAAGCATGGCGTATTTCACACAATTTGTTCAGAGTCAAAAACAAATGAAGAAATCATGAATAGCTTGATCTTAGTTCTTTCTCACTTATTTAATAGATTGAAATTACGTAAAATTTCGGGAGATTGGTATAAAAATAATGACACTCCTTCTAAAATCATCCTACCTCCTTTATCAGAAAATATTAAAAATATTTTAGAACAACATAATGAACGTATTTTAGAGTTATATACCGATTATGTTATAACTTATGCAAAAAATAATGCCTCTAGAATGGGACTTGATAATATTTTACCTTTATCATCAATTAAAGTTCCTTCCAAAAATTTAGATCAAAATTTGTTGAAAGATCCTTTAATTTCTAAATTTGGATCCGATGCTATTTCATTTATTACTCGATCTCCTTTTATTGCAGTGTGTAGTTCTCTTGGTGATATCTTCAATAATTTAGAAGATTTAACTAGTCATCTTCATAGTGAAATATATTTGGATCTTCATAGTATGCCTTTTATTAATACAGACGAAATTCTTAATGCGTATATTAGTGATTTTTTCTCTCATGGTCATGAAAAAGCTCTTGTTGAAGCAAATGGGATAAGACGTGGTGAGGTTTGGCAGGTAAATATATATATATATTTTTTTATTGTAAGAATAATTTTGTTTTTTAATCAATTACTTATTTTATTTTATTATTTCTTTTAGGTTTTAAATGAATTTTTTGGGGTTATTTCATCAATAGTTATTGCTTTAAGAAATAGAAATTTTTCTTATGGTTTAGAAGAAAAAGATGAAATAGTTCTTAAAGGATTTGAAATGACTTTAGAACACTTTTATGAAAAATTTGTAAAGACTTTTGTATAAAACGTTTATTAATTGACTTTAAATTGTTTTTTTTTATTTACAGTCTATTTACATATATAAAAAATTTTATAATAAATAAAAATATTGTTATAAAAAGCTCTGATTAATGTAATAACTAAATATTTCTACTTTGCTTTTTTAAATTTCATTATTTTTTTTATTAAAAAAAAAGTAATAATAATATTTAGTAGTTATTACTTCTAATCCAGTAAAAATAATTATAAAAATATTGAAAACCTTCTATTTCAGAAGGTTTAGTTTAGTATAAAGTGAATTTATTATATAACTGTTTGTTAAAAAGTATATTATTATATAATTAATATATAAGAGTCAGTTAAATTTAAATTAAATATATCATATAATATTTCATTATAAAATTCATCCAGTTCAATATAATAAAATTTTAGTATAAATAGATCCGTTATAACTAAAGATAACTATAATTAATAAAATTGAAAAAAAAGAAAGGTCAAAAATAATTTACAAAATTTTTTAAATTATTTTTTATTAAGATCTTCTATAAAAAGAGAAAATATTATAAAAAATTTATATAAAACCAAATAAAAATTAAATTAATCATAAATAATTTTATAAAAATTTTATAAATAACAGATAATTTAATTAATATTAATTAATATTTATGTTGTGCCTCAGATTGATTCTTGCTTCAGATTAAAACTACCAATAGGATGTGACGAATTATGTATATACACGTGATGATCTACATAGTAAAATTACCATATATGTAATGCACGTGATCTGGTATTGATCTTACGCAGCGTGAGTTTTAATTTGAGGCAAGAATCAATCTGAGGCACAACATTTATACTATTATATTTTTTTTTTAAATTTATTTAATATATTTTATTAAATATAAAAGATTAATACAATTACTGTATATTACTAATAAACTAAATACATTTCCAATAATTCTATTTAAATATCCTTTTAAAAATATTATAATATAAAATTAAGTTATATTTTAATATTATATGTAGTAATTTATTAAAATAATTATTTTATATTTTATTAAATATATAAAATATTTAATTTAATAAAATTTTAAAAAAAAACTATTTTTATTAAAAAAAAAATTAAAGATTTAAAAACTCTAAATAAATATAATTTAATATTTTTTAATATTATATAATTTAAAAAACCTTTTGTATTAAAATTTGAATGCATTTTGTGTTTTGAACGCATTCCTCTTTTTTGAAAATTTTATATAATAAAAATGCGGATCATTTTATTACATGATACCAGCAAATTTCTGATTTTTTTAAATAAATGCAATTTATACCTTATATATTTATAAATAAACTCACATTATATGTGTATTTTTGCCTCCTTTACAACTTTACTTACTATGACAAAAGGGGTTTAAAACTTTATTTTTGACTTATATCATAAGGTGCATTCAAACAGGATTCCGCTTACTACTAAGATATGTTACCAGTAGAAATTTCACTTTTATATGAAACCTTACCTTAGGATTTGCTTAAATTCTATTGGTTAATTGAAAAAATCATAACAATGTAACATAAAATTTCCTTTTATAGTAGGAATTTCAAAGAGTTTTATATGTAAACCTTACCTTAGGTTACAGGGTGATCTATCTTAATAATAGGCAGAATTTTATTCAAATGCAGATGTGTTTAAATTTTAAACCCATATTAATATAATATTAAAATAGATAAATTAAAATCAATATTTATTTAATTTTAAAAATCCATTTATAATATAAATTTTTTTAACTATCATTAGAGGTAATGATTACTGGTGGCTGAAATTATGATGATCGACTAGTATTAAAAAAATATAATGCCAGTAAAAATTGATAATTCTAGTCAACAATGATGATTATCTCCAGTGATTTGAAGTAAAAAACTTATAATATTATATATATAATTATATAATAAAGTTTCTTTTTATTTATTTTTAATTTTTTATTAATTATTATTTTTATTATATTATAATATAATACTTATTTTTTAATTTAAAATTTTCTTATTTTTAATAGTTTTTTAATTAATTTTTTAATTTTTTAATTAATTGCCAATTTATTTATTAAGTAAGTAAAATAATTAGCAAATTTATTTATATTAATTTTTAGTAAACTATGGTGCAAGTAAACTATACTCAACAATAAAATTGTAATACTAAAAAATCTTATAAAATTTTAAAAAATAAATTTTAAAGAAAATAAACTGGTAGTTTTATTCTTCAAGACAAGTACTATCAAATTACCAGTCAGATTTTTGAAAAAAAATCTGTATAAAAAGTTATAGGCATTTAAAACTAACCGATTTTTATATGATCGCCCTAAATTTAATCATATGTACTCTATCTTATTGGTCAAAAATTTTTATAATTCAGGCTGAAATTATGATATTTCAATGCTAGCCCGAATTATCATATTCATTTGATCATGAGAAAATTCCTTTAATAATGAGAAAACCTTTTGATTCATGAGAAAATCTTCACATGTGAATAAGAAAATTTCAATCTGGCTTTACTGATATCACATAAAAACAAAATGACAACAACAAGTTAGCAGTAAGATACCTAGAAAAAAAGGTCGTTACAATACCATATAATTCAAATATGAAGAGTTTTAATAAATAAAATTTTCGTTTTGACATAAAATATTATATACGAAACATTGTAATATATAAAAATTCTCATTTTTTATTGGATAATACCTGATTACGTGATATGAAACTTGCGCCAGAAAATTGAAACATCATCACGTGATTGTCGAGTATAGTTTACTTGCACCATACTTAAAATTTTTTTTTTTATTTTATAGTACATTAAGGTAAAAATTATAAAAAATTTATATTATAGCAATTATCTACAAAATTTTTATTAAATTCATATTCAAATATTTAATATATATATATAAATAGTTTATCTAAACTAGTAAATACTATAATACTAATACAGAACACTAAAATTTTATCAGAAAATTTTTTCCACTTAAAATCCACATAGAAATTCATATTGAATATTATGAAAATATATGGAAATCTGAATTTAAAATAAATAGTTAAATACTATTAAACTACTAGTTAAACTTTCAAGAAAATATATAAATAAAATTATTAATATATAATTTAAATGATTTTTGTATAAATAATTTAAATTATACTATATAAGTAATTTTATTGGTCAAAATTTTTTATAATCTGAACTAAGATTGTAATTCCATAATGCTGGCCTGAATTATTATAATTAAATATTTTTAAAAAAAATGATAAATGAGTTCACTAAAAATAAGTAATATGGAGCAAACAATATTTTTTTATTGTATTTTATTCATTTAAATACCATATTTTATTGAAATTAAACACCCCTTGAAAATAAGCACCCCCATAAACTTTTCAAAATTTTTTATGCAAAAGTTATATATATTTCTAATAAAAATAATATCAAAAATAAACACCACCCCAAAATTTTCATCCAAAACTCTTGCAAAATAGGGTGCTTAATTTTGATAAAATACGGTATAATATTTTTACATATAATTATATTTTACTTATTATCTGTATTATTATATATTTTTAATATTTTTTTTCATTTGTTTAAATTTTTTATTAATATTTTATATTATTAAAAATTTTCTTTTCAAGTAGATGGTTTCCATAAGCTGATATGAATCCTCTGTCAAATGTTGCTTTTTTCTGGTAAAAATATTCTGAGCCTTAATCAATTATGATTCTTTAAATTCTATGATTCAAAGTACTTTAGTAGAATGGATCATATGATGGAAAATTTTGAAGCATGCAAATTTAAATTGATGTCTAATAAATACAGTTCTTTCTTATGTAAATTTAATTATCCGAGATCCAATGCCAATGGAACAACAAATCTACAATAATCTAAACAATTTTAATTTAATTTATTTAAAAATTTTATCATCTTAGATTTGTTTTTACTTATTTCATGTACTATCATTTTCGTACCTGGATACGTCTTCAGTTCCTGGCAATAGCCTAGTATTTGTATATTATTATATATAAATATATAAAAGAATTTTATATATAAAATTCTTTATCATTATACTTATACTATGTATACAATGAATCCTGTTTATATAGTGCGGTTGACACTTCTAGATTGCTTCAAACTTGTCCTTTTCATTTAATGATATTTAATTATTATTAACTTGTTTAATCAATCAACTTGGTTTCTATGCATAGATCTGATTGGCCTGATTGTATATTTGAATTATTATTATTAGATGCTACTTCACATTGTTCGTTGGTATCATTAGCATTAGATTTATTTAAAATTTCATTGAATACGTGGTTAATATCGGGTCTTTTCTTTGGATCACCATCCCAACATTTTTGATAAAGTTGTTGATACTCTAAAGGTGTACCTTCGATTGGTTCTTCTCTAAGATTCATATAACCAATGTGATAACCTAACATATCTCGTTCTTTCGTATAACAAAAAGGAGGACGCCCACCTAAACTATAAACATCAGAACTTTTATCTTTTACGTAATTAACACTCCTCAAACATTGTGGTTCAACATATTCAATAATTCCAATTCTACTACCCATAGAATTAGATGTAGCTTCTGCTAAATGTTTAGATAATCCAAAGTCTGCAATTAATAATCTACCCTTATTCACTAAGATATTTTTTGAGTGCTATAAAATTGATCATTTATGTTATTAAAAATTATCATCATTTAAACGATATTATAAAAATAAATTATTGGCTTACCAGGTCCCTATGGACTATGTCTCTAGAGTGCAAACATTTTAATCCACATGCAATATCCAACGCCATTCGAATCTTGTTTTCCCATTGTAATGAATCAAATTTTACCTTTAAATAATCTCGCAAATTCCCTTCATCGGCGTATTCCAATACCATAATATAATTTCCAGCATGATCTATATTATACGGTATATGCAGGATTATTATAAATACTCTAAGATAATGTCAAGCATATCATTTTTTCTAATATTTATATTTAAATATTATTGATTTAAATTAAATAAATTAAACTATAAACACAAACCATTTGTTATTCCAAGAAATCTGTTAATATTATCATGATAACTAACCATACGAAGAAGTTTTAACTAAATAAAGAATAAAATATATTAATTTTTATTATAAGCCATTTATACATTATGATGGATTTAGACACAAATCTTACCTCTTTTACGAGATTTTTAATAACATTTTCCTCGATTACTGAATTTGTGAGACCTTTCAGTGCAACTTGTTTTTTATCATTAGTTTCTGCTTTACTCACAATACCAAATCCTCCCCTACCAATTTCAATAAATTTGCCAAATTCACTATATTCAAAGTAATTAATATCATGTTCCTCTATTTTCTTTTTGATCCATTCCTAATTTTAAGTAAATGTGTGTCACATAACAATTTTTAAAAAATTGTACGAGATTAAAAAAATTTACCATAGGATCGTAAAAAAATTTTCGCTGATGAACTTTCTCATAAGTCTCATTAGAGCTATCATCAAAATCACTATTTCTGCTATCAGGACGAGTCCTTCGGCCACTTTGAATTTTTTTGAGATCATCCCTCAACCTTTGTAAAGATTCATCTATCCCAACCGTAGTATCAGTAGTATCAGTAGTATCAGTAGTATCAGTAATATGTCTAGTATCAGTAGTATCAGTAGTATCAGTTCTGGAGTTTAAGGAGTTTAATGCTGCTTCTCTCCTTGCAAAGTTCCAATCTATCCAAGTATCTAAAGAATCTGTACTTGTAGGGGAAACTTCAGCGCTATCCTCTCCATTTTCATTTAAAGTTAGTGGTACATTAATGCTTAATTGTTTCGATTTCGCTCGTTCACTAACTTCTTGAGGATTATTAAAACGAAACACATGAAAATCTCCAAGAATGATATGATACCCAGATTTCAGTTCTTTTGCTTTATTTATTCGCATACCATTTATCATTGTCGTACTATTTTCGTGAGGATGCAGCGTAACAACTCCATCTATATTTTCAAACCAACAATGTTCATCTAATATATTGTCGCCATTTAAACGTATATTCAAAGGAATATCAGACTCAATGCGACCGACTCGTGTTTTTCCAGGTTTTATTTGGTAAATTAAACATTCTGACAAAAGAGGATCTTCATTGAGATTGACAAGATATGGTACTTTCTTAGGAGGATGTATGCCAACAATATTCTTTTCAACCATAATACCAAGTTCTTCCAACGTTTTTTCACGTTCTTTTTGGATTTCTTCAGTTTTTCGTGCTTTTTCCGCCCACGATTCGTTAACTTCTTCCATTAATTTTTCAGAAGCTTGAGTTTGATCGATTAATTCCTCTTTTGTCTTCTTTATAGTATTTCCATTTTTATCCTGAAGTACAACAATTTGTTGAGAAGGAGGAACACTGGGATCATAAGGTTCACTTGAATCATAAGTGCCAAGTTTACTGCGCAGCATCGGTAATTCTTCTTTAAGTTCACGAATAAGTCTTGTATTTGGATCTTCATTAACAACAGCTTTATTCTTGATACGTCTAGTCGCATCAGCGTAACGTAAGGTACTAAGCGTCTCAACATAATCAGCTGGAGAAATGGCAGCAATCATGGCGGTTTTAGAGTTTCCACCTAAATTGTCTTTCAACAACCAAGTTAAAACCATATTTGATTAAAAAAAAAGCATTTGTTCTAGCTAAATAAAAAAAAATTCTCAACAATAAATTAGATGAAAATAACATACAGAATCTCTATATGGGACAAAAACTTCTTTCTTGCCCTTTTTTTTATCAACAGAAAATTCAGCTAAAGAGGCAATAACTTTACCAAATGTTGTTAATGATTTGTTGATGTTTACTCCTTCTTTCAACCGAGTTCCAGTTGCACCAGTTAAATTAGCACGTTCTGAGCCAGCTAAATCCACAAAACTAATATACAATTTATGAAAACGTTAATTCGAGTGAATTAAAAATAAAAAGTATATAAAATTAATTTACCTAATGCGAGATACTTTCTCAGTATCCATATTTGTTTGAGTGTCATGCCTTTTTTGCGTTACCAGTAGGGTAAATACAGCATGCGACCGACCTGATGTTTCATTCATATTTGTTGCAGCGACTGTTCTTACCTAATAATTCGTAAAATTTTAGTTACTTAAAAATTATTAATAACATTATATGATCTCAAATTTACCTTGTTACTCTCGTCCATTAATTTCTCAATATCAATAAAAGAGTTAACTATCAGCTTTGACAAATCTTCTACATATGGTCCTAAAGCCGGATGTTCTCTAACTTTAAGATTTCCTTTGTTTTTAGGGTTTAATAAGTCTCTAACCCTTTCATTGTAGATTTCAATATAAGAGACTTGTACTTGATATGTGAGTTCAAGATCTTTGTTATTATTTATGCGGTTAAATAATTCACAACAAGTGAGAGGCATAATGCCTTTATCTTCTCCATAACCCATCTTTCATAGTGTATAAAGTTAAAGAATTAATAAATTTGTCACTTATATGTGTAATATTTCTATCATACATACCATAGAGTAAGATTTCCCTGCGCTGGTTTGGCCGTCTAAAGCATAAATTCGATAATAATTATTACGTTTAATTAAAACAGCTTTTGATTATAGTTAATAATTATATAGAGACTTACAAGCAAAAATGCATGTATTGTAACCTTCAAAAGCGTAGTCAAGAAATTCTTCACCGAGATCGTTGTATAACATTGCTTGGGTAGCATAATTTGGATCATTCTTATCAAAAGACCAATATGACTTATCAAATGTAAACGATTTCACATCTTCAATACCATCTCGTTTATTAGCATTTCCAGGATCATTTACATCTGGCCTGGTTATAAATGTTTGATTCCCAACCATGCTGATGAGACGGTTTGCTCCCCGAGCAATTTCTAATTAAAACATCAGAATAAATTTAAATAAAATTTCAATGTGTAAGAATGCACAATAATTTTTATTTACCTCTAGAATTGAGAGGCCGACACCTAACGACTACTTTAATATTTTCATCTCCCATGATGAACTTTGTTTCATCAACAAAAGTATTTATTTATGTTAAAAAAAAATGACAATGGGATTAAAGCTCAGGCTAATAAACCAGATGAAGTCAAAAGAGTGGAATCTAAAAGAATTCAATATTTTCACAATAAATTATTATTATTATAAATATATTGGTGGTGTTGTAACAAATATTACAACTAGTAGAATTATTTAAAAGTCCAAAACTGATAATTTACAAAATTGATTAACAGATAGTAAATTTTTTTTAATCAGAAAATTAATAGCTTAAATTTACGATAAATAAAACAGAGTTGCAAAATCGTAAGTCATACAGAAGTTGCAATGGTTTTATGAATTGGTAGTTGTTCGTTACACTGTTTTCCATGTATGACATTATTTTTTCAATTTCAATTTTCAAAGGAGAGAGAAGGTAGATCACACACTGATATACATTTGGTATATATATAAAAAGGTCGGTCAATTGACTTGACTGTCATTTATAGTCTTGGCTTTTTCCTACCTTTTACAAATTTTCGTATATATATTTTTTCTTTCTAATCTTTTGATTTATTCTTCATTTTATTTGCATTGTATTATATAAATAATATTAATGTACTATTGACTTTGCTTTTATCTTTAAAATTATATATATATATATTTTTAGTTTACAATTTTCAAACGCGTTAAATATGAACCATTCCTGTAAATTAAATAAATGATGCTGCGCTAAATAAATAATTAAGTAAATGAAATACCATCAGTTCGTTGGCAGGCTGTAACCTTGGATGCAATTGGGAAGAAACTAGCCCGATCGTGAACCCTGCAGTGCGCACCATCACCATACATAATGGCCTTGAATTTCATATCATTTAAAACCAAAAAAGAAATAGGAGTAATATATAGCCTGAGAATCCAAATTCAATTTTTTATCATGTGTAAGAACAAATACCCTTAAAGTAAAAACTTTAAAATATCAATCTTTTTTGTTTGATTTTTTATGTATTTATATACGATTTCTTGGAAAATACAAGGGAAATGAAATTACAGAGGTCATTACTAACGTGATTGTTTTATTTAAAAAAGAGCTGATTTTTATCATAATATTTAAAGTTGTTAATAAATCTTTTTTTTTACAATATTTTTAAATTTTACTATTGACTCCATTCGACTTTATTTCAAATCACTAATCATGGTTCGGTTTAATTTGAAAAAAATGAGGCTATTATACTTGATTCCTTCTGCGTATGTCGAATATCCTTATCTTGACGACTAACTCTTAAATCCTCAAATCAGAAGCATCGTTCAACAATTACCTTTTAATATCGCTACTTTTAGTTTGGTGTTTCTGGCAGCAGCATCTGATCCAATGTGATAAAGACTACATAAATTCGAATTTATTAAATGAAGAGTTGTGCTTTTTTGTTTAAATTAAATTAAAATTATAGCAAAATTGACAAAATAAAATTAAAAAATTCATAATTTTTTTTTTTCAATATATACTGATCCAGCAAAAAGTCGTAACTAAAATATTTTTTAGTAAAACTTCATTTTTAATTAGAATTGGCATCCATATTAATATAGTCTTCCTATTATCCACAGGTTTATTTTAATTCCTATTTCGTAACGATATTGCTTGCATAAATCTCAATAAATTAATGGAAGTACAGCTTATTTGATATATTACAATCTATCTATTGTTGCTAACTTAGCCAGATCTTTTAAAATGAACTTGGTGCTACCTGATCACAAACGTTGATGTGCAGCGACATTGATCAGGACCTCGAGAAAGAGGAAAAGGGAAAGGATGAGAAAAAGAGAAAGAGCGATGGAATTCATGCCACACCAAACACCCACACCACACCCACACCCACAAAACAAATAAAGGTATTTGGAGATGTATTTAATATTCATATTATTTATTTTATGTATACACGTATACGTATCAGGCGAAAAAAGATTTCGCATGAATAAATTTTTTTTAAATATATTCGCATGAGTGATTCTAATATTACAGCGCTTACAAGTGTGGGACTTAGTTTATGTTATATATGATAGGCCCCATCTATTCCTTCGATTTAATTTGAATTGCTGCTATTGGTACTAATTTTCAATAATTTACAATTCAGTATAATTCAGTATACAGAATCTCACAATACAAGGGTTTAAAAGAAAAAAGTGAAACTGATTTATTTATTTTTACGTCACATCCCACAAGAAATTATGAAACTGATAAATGTCAACTGACCTCAACCGATCAACCTTACATAAAATACACAAACGCCGGAAATGTCGAAATGATTAGAATTAACGCAAGTTATATCACTAGAGGATTATGGAATGTCCACAGAAAGCGCAAGATATCCTTAAAGTTAGCATCAAACTTTTGCAATTTATTCAAAAAGATATCCAAATAATATAACACCTGAAAGGATTAATGAACTTCATTGCTAGTGAGGTCCCTGGATCAGTAATCAAAAGTATAATTTTGAAAGCAACTTAATAAATTGTGTCATACAATCGTACATTATATAGGATCTTGTAACGATCATATAAAGTGAGTAATGATTTTATATAATTAAAAAATTCTGTGAAATTAACTTGAATTGTGAAATGTGTCCGTTAAATTTATTACGAATTGCTATCATAGAATTATGTCAATTTTATATATCACGATTTTTCGCCAAACTGATTTTGGTTAGATTCGTATCATGCAATGTTCATTTTTAATTGACGATATCAATTTTTTATCACTGAAATTATGATAAATTTAAAGAATTTAATATTTTTTGTTCATGCTATTAGCTAATTTCCAGAATATTATTTGTGTGCACAATTTACTACAGTACTATGTGATTGATCCCGGTGCGAAGCAACAGGCAGTATTAATCAGTTACAGTATATGGAAATTGTCTTTTGAAGATGGTAATGATCCATATATAGATGTACAGTCAGCCTTTTCTATAGCGAATTTTAATATAACGAATTCATGATATAACGAATCTTTAATGTGATACGCATTTAATCATATGAAAAAAATTTGTTACCCCGAATTTTACTAATAAAATACAGTATAACGTTGAACGAAGAAAATCTTATAAATGACCCTTTTATAACGAATTTCTTTTAAAACGAATTGTCTTTTCTTAATATAACAGATTTTTACAAGATAAATTTTAATATACTGTAAAAAGCAATTTGATGCTGGTTTTATGAAATTTTTCTCGAATAAGCAATTTTACCACTTTTAATTCATTTTATCAAAAGATGGATGATTTATGTTTCGAAGTTTCCTTTTTGGTTTTTCTCTATTTTACTGCATTATACCAAAATTTTCCGCTATACCGAATAAATTCGTTACGAATTTCTCATAACGAAGGCCTGATCGGCCTAATTCGTTAAGGGTCGACTGTACGATCAAGATCATTAGATTATTTTACATGCAAACCGGTTTTATAAATGATTCAGGAGTTTTAAATTTTCGATCAAGTAGGCATCACCATCATGTATTCAGTCAAAATTTTGTCCGTAATTGAATTTTATTATTATCCGTTAATTAAAAAAATAAACAAGATAATTTTATCACAGTAGCCAATATATCAAAATTATAATATATAAAGTAAATGAATATTGGACATCCTAAAATTATAGTGAATTTTTTTCGAATATTGAAAGAAACCGGTAGTGCCTCGACCCGTATCCGGATCAATCCGGATTGATCCGGATTTTTTTTTTTTTCGGATATCCGGATTTTCACGGTTTTCATCCGGATTATAAACCGGATGAAAAATATCCGGTTTGACCCGGAATCCGGATGAAATTTTTATTATTTTTTTTTATTAATAATAATTTTGCTGATCCATAAAGATCTATATCTAAATGATATTATGGCTAATTATTTTTGCGCCTAATACCAATTTTTTTATTAAAATTTATTAAATTTATATTTGTTATATTAAACTTTTTAATACAGTAAGTTTAAGAAGATTTTTCAATTATAATTTATTTATTGAAGTTTGTATCAGATTTGTTTATTTAAATTTATACATTAACAAATAACAAATAATTTTAGATTTCACATTCAAA